AACCGGGTTCTCGGCCTTTCCCGGTCAGGCGCGGCCCCGACGGTCGGGCCGCGCGCGGCGCAGACCCGGAGCCCCGCGGGGGTCAACGCAAGCCCGGGCCCAGCCGGTCGGGCTTCGGGTAAGGCCCACTTACCCGGCCCCGGGTGGCAGCAGCGGCGCCTTGCGCTGCGGCTTCTCCTGAGACTCGCGCGGAAGGAGGGAGCCAAAGAGAGGGAATGAAAAAAAAAAAAAAAAAAAAAAACGCGGCCGTGGATGAACCGCGGCGGCTTCCGTACGCCGTTCAAATTGGCCCAGCCGAGCCAATCGGAAGGCACAGCTGTAACACGTGGAACGGCACCGGGGAGACCGAGGCCCCGCCGAGGCCGGGTCACGTGACCGAAGTGTAGGTGGCTCGCCTGGCCTCTCTGGCCGTTCGGTCTTCCCAGCGTCTCGTTTTCTCAGCGTCTGTCACGCAGGCCTGACAGCAGCTCTTTGCTGGGAGCTGAGTTTGGTGGCGCGTGGGGACTTTTGGTATGTGGTGGACCCGTGAACCTCTCGGCCCCAGCCAGTTGTGCCTTTCACCCCCTTCTCTACGAATAAAACTGGGCCTCCCCCCGCCACACGCATCCAGAAGTTGCCTGAGAAGAGCACAATAGGTATCCTCAAGGAAAGATCGGAGGGAACTGAGCCTAGCGTGAATTTTAGACCCCAGAGACAAAGGAAGCACTAAGCCAGACAAAGGGGGTGCCTAAGATAGGCTGCGTTCCTGCAGAAGCCTCTGCCACATTTTGTGTTATTTTCCAGTACTGTTTGATACTTTTTACAAGGATATGAGAAAAACCCACAAGGATATAAAATTCTAAACGAAATGAATAAACGCTGAAGCGAAAGGCCTAATCTCTTTCCCTACCTGGAGCTGAATGAGGTGAAACAACCCAGGAAATTTAGGCAAGGGCAGGGTCATGATGAAAGACATCTTCATAATCCTCGCGCCATCTTTGGATAAAGTAGGGCACCTCTTTTAAGAGTGGAGCAGCAGACGAGGGAGAAGCTGGAGACCCTGGGGCCTCGGTTTCCCCCCTCTTGGCCAGGCTGATAAACAGATGGGCAACCTCCTGCCACTTGGGAGTCTTAAGTTTCCTCACTAGTCAAATGCGTATAAAAATAGTTTGCTGGGTTAGAGATCATCAAGTTAAGCATTACCAGGCCTACGGCAAATCATTCTTTAAAAAACTTGTTTTTTTACCGGGAGAGGCTCAAGGCCGTCCTGCCACTGTATTCAGCCACGCCCTAAGCCAATATTTACTGAATTTAATCAACTAGGCCTCTAATCCCCAAGGACAACCCAGCCCTGTCTTGAGGGACTTTTTGTCTCCAGGAGTGGTAGGTTAATTTTTGCTCCAGCCTGGAGGAAGGGGACAGGTTTCTCAGCCGACTTCCCGTTAGCAAAGTCAGTCCCCCTCCGTTCATTCATGAAAAACAGGTACCTAAGACCTCTCCTGGCAGCCAGCACTGGGGCCTTCCAGACTTGAAAAGGGTCGGCTAGTGCTTAACGCTACTCCGAGACTCCCTAAAGGAGCAATCGGGTTTTCCTCCTTTGCGGGACCGAAACCCGGCTGGAGTGACACGTGCAGAAAGCTGCCGCCTGCGCATGCGCAATGGCCTTCCCTCGCATACCCTGAGGCGCGAGAACTACAAATCCCGTCTCACCGCGCGCCCGCGTAGCCGCGCTTAAGGATTCTGGCTGTGACTCAAAACCCGGTGGTCAGGAGACCCCCCACCCCCCCGGAGGTGGGCGTTGAGCGGAAGGAAGAGTGATATTGAGGGACTGGGACTGGAAGTTTCGGGAGGTGTGCTAACAGTAGGAGTTTTCTGCTCAGGGTTGGGAGTTGCCCCAGATAAGGATCAGATGGGAAGAGAGCTGGAGATGCGTGAGAGAATTTAATGCTCACCCTCTCCTATTAATATGTCAAGTTTCAGTGATCCCAAGCAAGCCTCAGGGGAGAGTAGAGTCAGGCAGAATAAAGTGACCCCTGCTGTTTTTGTGGTCCACGGTATTGGCCCTCGTGTGATCGATCACGGAAGTCTTTCTTCCTACCCCCAGCTAGTGGATTTGAGTTCTGAATCCAGGCTTTTCCCCCATTTCTTTCACTTTCTTTTTTTTTTTAAGTAGGCTCCATGCCCAGTGTGAGGCTTGAACTCAGGGTCCTAAGATCAACCGACTGAGACAGCCAGGCACTTCATATCCCTCTTCCTTAAGCACCTACTTTACTCCCTGTCAGGCATTTTCCAAATGTAGTTCTCACAACAGCCCTGTACACAGCAAACTTACTCCCAACTAGAAGCACTCAGTGCAAAAAAGAAATTCAAGGAGCTGGTGCCCAACCATGAATCTGAGATGGAAGACAAAGTCCTCTCCGTTTACAACAGTCTCCCTATCTGAGCATCTCTTCACAGGGCACCTGTGTTTAATTAAAGGTCACCATTTCTCAAACACGTCCCCCAACCCAAGCCAATTGCTTCACCCAGAGAAACAATGACAGCTGTTTTAAATAATATCAGGGTTAACACTGACTTAAATATTGCCCTTACTTTAGAACTTGACTGTGGAGATGCCTCCGTATTCTACCCCTATTATTTATTTGAGAAGGAGGGAGAGAGAGAGCGCGCACGCGCACACAGAGGAAGAGGGAGAGGGAGAAGCAGAAGCAGACTCTCTACTGAGCAGAGAGCCCAATGCGGGGCTCCATCCCAGGACCCTGGGATCATGACCTGAGCTGAAGACAGACACAACCAAATGAGCCACCCAGCCATCCTTACCCGTTTTAGACACGAAGAACTTGAAACACAGAAAGGCTAAGTGACTTACCCAAGTTCACACAACTAACAGGCACCAGAATGGTTTGAAGCCATGGCTGTGTGACTCACCAAACCCTGAATTTGATTCTCCTCCCCTTTCAGACTTTCCCCAGGTCAAGACTGGCGAATGCAGTGAAGGGGGATGCTGGGACTCCATCAACTCCTCCTGCCTCCTGACACTCCAGAAAAGAGGCTGAGCTGCTGCAGGGGCGACCTACTTCTCCCACTTGTGTTTCTTTTTAAAGATCCAGCGGCTCCTGGTGCCTTTGAGGAAGGAGGTAAGGGTGGCATCATTGGCTGCTTATGTCCCCTCCCCCAACACTACATCCCCAAGGCTAAAGTTACACCTGGGCCAGCTCACCATCCCCAAAGTAGGAGGGAGAGACCTTTGAGCCAATGTGGAAAATAAGTCAGACAAGGCTCAGTGTGTTAGCCAGAAATGAGAGGGGCAGTTGGGTTCCAAAGCCTGCTTGTGCTTTTCTCTTTTGAAAAGCCAAGCCAGCTTTCAGCTCAGGGTCTTTGCACTTCCCGTTTCTTTGGCCTTAAACACCTCCAAGGATCATCTTTACTGCTTTCAGAACTTTGGACAAACATTACCTTCTCAGGGAAGCCATCCCTGACAAACTTAAAATTGCCATCTCTCCCACTGATCTTGGTTCCCCTTTCATATTTCCCCCCCATAGAATGTGTAACCATCTGATGTGTTCTGTATTCTATTTCATTTCCTGTTTATTTCCTCAACTAGAATGTTAGTCCCACCAGAACAAGTTTTGCCTGTTTTGGTGCTCAGTATTTGGAATGCCCACCCAATTCCCCACAGGCTGGATCTGGCAGTCTGAGGCCAGTTGGATACTATACTACCTCAGCCCTCCTCCCTCTTCCTACACAGGTCCCAGGCACCAGGTGACCACCATGATCCTCCCGATGGAGGGGGATGGGAGTCTGAATCTGGGACAGGCAGGGGTGCCGAGCTGCTTCCTGCATGGGAAGGCCTGGGAGGTGGGCCCATGCCTGGGGGACCCAGATCCTGCTCCAGGTCTAGCAGGTTTGAGAAGGGAGGTTTGGGAGGCAAGGGCCTCTTAAGACATTTGTGGGCTCAGTGGGGAACAGGCAGCCAGGCAGTTTCCAGAAGGCCCAGAAGTACAAGGAGCACTAAAGGGGCACTAGGGAAGTCAGGCTTCCTTTAGGACACCCTGTCCCAACATGTCAATAATCATGTTCTGCAAGGTGGTGTTTGTGCTATTTGTGCTCCTTCTGATCATATATACATAAGGGTGGGGTCAACCCAGCCTCACTAGAGGGGCTGCAAGTAGCTGGCAGGACAAAGCAGCCCCACAGGAATCCAGATCCCAGCCCTCCTCACCTGGACTGCCGACACTCCACCACCTCCCCTCCCCCAATCATGGCCCAGCCTCATCTCCAGGTTCCGCCCCAGGAGCCAGAGGGGGCCTGTTAAGGTAGTTAACACATAACCTATTGCTCCTTAACTCTTACTGCCCCTCCCCCCCCCGCCAGGACCAAGGCTTCCTCTCACCAAGAATGAGGTCCCAAATCCTGACCCTAGCATACAAAGCTGTGTATTTAATCCACACACCGTCCCCACTCTTCAGGTCCAGTCATGTGGGCCACCTCGAAGCTCCCCACAAAGGCCCCATGTTCTCCCACCTGTTTTTACACTGGCTGTTCCCTCCACCTGCTTCCTCACCTCCCTAAGGACTCAGACCAGATGTCAAGGGAAATAGACACCTTCCCCCTGTACTTTTTCCCAATCACCTCCCAAAACGGCTTCCCCTTTTTGTCTGTTTCTTTCCAGAAGGGCAGGGAGTGTCCATGGTCTGTTCTGCTCACTGTTAGGGCCCCGAGGCCCAGGACAGCAGAGGCACACAGCAGGCTCTCATCAAGTGTCAGCTGAATGAACAAACTGACAGCTCCGGCCCAGCCTAATGGGGCTGTGATGGGACACTGAACATGAGCAGCAACACTGGGGCTCTGTCAGGGGCAGGGGGAAGTGGGTCCTGAGGAGAGGGGATGCACCCCTGTCCTTCCCACAACCCCAAATAACTCCCTCACCATGCCAGACCCAGGACCAAGTGTAGGACCAGGCAATGGGGGGAGGGGAGTGCTCAGGGTGGAGAACAAAGAAGGCAAACCAAGCACACCGCTCCGGCACTAAGTCAAGTTCTTTACTTCCCAGAAGTGATGGCTAAGAGGGGGAGAGGGTGGGGGGAGGAAGACAGAAGGAGCCAGAGAGAGCAAGGAGGTGGGAGGAGAGGGGACAGTAAACCACTGTTCTATAAGTCTCAGGAGGCAAGTGCTCAAGGTAAAAAAGAGTCCTGGAGAATCGTCCGCGGCTGCGGGAAGCATCTCGATTTCCTTCTGTGTAGAAGTCCTTGGGGGGGGGGTAAAGGCTGCCGCCGCTGCCGCTGCCGCTGCATTAAATAGTTATGTACATCGCAGAGAGTCCCAGGCCGTAGGCAGGCGGGGGAAGGGGGTCATTTCACCAGGGGCCGAGTTTTATCATCATCACCACACTGATGGGCTTTGTACTTTTTCACCTCTGCCATGTACTTGGCCCATGCGTCACCTTTACTTGTTAATACCTGTTGGGGGGGGCACACAGGGGTTGCAAGGGGATACCAAGGAGGCCAGGAACTGGGGTCAGGACTGTCCTGAGACAGCTGACACCCCCCCACACACACACACACCCACCCCGTGTCACCCTTAAGGTCGTGGGTTTGAAGTAAAGATGTGCAGACTCAATTTATCTGGGGAAACTGTTGAAAGCCCTCCTCCCCCACCCAGCCCCCGCATCCAAGGCCCCGGGGGCTGGACAGAAGGGAAAGGGCTCAGCAGCCAGGCACTGAGGCTGGAAAGGAAAGGCACCGCGGGTGGGCCCCCTCACCCAGCCTGCTCACCTCATCCTCCGTCTTCTGCTTCTTGGCTACTATTCCCGTCTTGAGGGCTAGTTTGTTTCCGCCTCTGCGCTTGCCCACCTGGGTGAAGGGACAGAAGACTGCAACGGTTACAGGAGCCGGGCCCGGCCTTGGCGGCGCTGAGGCCCACTACACCTTCCTAGCCCGGCCCGGTGGCCCGTCCCGACGCCGCGCCCAGCTCCACCAGCCGGCCGACCTGCGCAGCAATCAGAGAGGAGCACACGCGACTCTTAGCGTCTGCCCTGGGCCCATGATGCCCTGGCAGTCGTGGGCCCCTGGGCTGCCCTCCCCAAAAGCAAGAAGAACCCCCACATCAGTGGGGACCGGCTCTCCTCACCCTCCCCTAGCAGGGACCACACAGGCAGCAACAGCTCCCTTTACTGAGCCCTCACTGTATGCTAAGCTCTGTGCCAAGTACTTGGATGCATCATCCTTCACTTTCACTGCTGCTCCAAGAGGAAGGTTACAACCATCCCCATTTTACAGATGAGGGTACACCTCTGAGAAAGAAGAGGGCCTACCCTTGGTTGGCAGCAAGCAATGGAACTGGATTCAGGGTCAGATGGGTCCGCGTCACAGAGCAGCATCCTCACCCGACAAAGGACGCTGTGTCCCCTGCACCTAACCTGGCCTCTTTAAGGTGCCCCTCGATGAAGAAATGAAAAAGGCAGTGACAACTACTGCTACTCCTGCTCACAAAGGGTCACTCGGCCTCCACCTCTGGTTCTTACACCAAGCCAGGAACCTAGAATCCTGACACTCTCCCTTCCTCCAAAAGAAGTCTCACTCTAGACCTCATCCTGGTCCTCCACCTTCTCCCACTGAGCACCTTCTGTGTCCACGGGCAGCAACAGGCTTTACAGACATCCTCCCATCTCTATCCCTCAGCCAGCATCAAGTAACCCGTGCTGCTGGGACTACCCCCACTCACTTTTAACAAATGAAGAAAATGAGGCTTGGAGAGGTTAAATCACTTGCCCGAAATCACACTGTTGGAGTTAAGACTTGACCTCCAGTCTGTTACTCTCAAGTCAACACTTTCCTCCACACCATAGGGACTTGATCTCTGAACAAATTAATACCTGGGCTGTGAATTAGCCACTTCTTTTTCTTTTTCCTCTTTCTTTCTTTCTTTCTTTCTTGGTTATTAAAGAAACTTTTATGTTTTTTTTTTTTTTTAAATAGGCTGTACACCCAACGTGGGTCTTGAACTCTAGACCCTGAGATCAAGAGTTGCGTGTTCTACCGACTGAGCCAGCCAGGGGCCTCCAGGGACTTGATCTCAATACCAGAAACAAAGCAAGCTCAGAGTTGACCATCAATATAGTTGCCATTTATTTAGCCTAGAGTTTCTTCACCTCACACTAGTGACATTTTGAGCTGGATCATTTTTGCGGGGTGGCGGGAGCTATCCTGTGCATTGTAGGACGTTGAGCAGCATCTCTAGTCTTTACTCAGAGATGTCAACAGCACCCCTCCCCCAATTCTGACAAACAAAAATTTCTCCAGACTGCCAAATTGAGGGGGCTTGCGGGGAGGGGGTGGGGAGATTGTTCATTCCCAACTAAAAACCACTGGTGGTTTAGCCCTTCGTTTAAGACAAACCCTGTACTAACCTCCGGGATGGCCTCACAGAACCCTCATCACATCACAAGATGCGATGGTAACCATTTTTGCAAATGGGAAAATTGAGGGTAGGCCAGCCCAGACACTCCAGGAAAACGATCTTGTCATGTTAAACACGGCACATCCAGCACCCAGCACAATGCTCAGCATAAGGTATGGTGCTCAATAAATGGACACCGGACAAACGAGACTCAGGGAAAACAGAACAAATTTCCTAAGGTCACACAGTTAAGCACTGAGTCTCCAAACCACACAGCTCAGATTCCAGATTTGAATTTGCCCCTCTTCCCCATAGTGGGAGATGGTCCCAGTATCCAAGTTTAAGTACCACTCAAATAGGAATCCCGGTATCCTGATTTCCCCATCCCCGGAGCGCTGTTTCGAATGCAATTGCCTGGCTACCGGTCCCCGCGGGCGGTCTCCGGGGGTCCCCACCCCCGCCCCCAAACCTCTCGTCGAGAATCCAGGTTCCGGATCCTCAGCGGGCGACCGGACGGCCCCCTCATCGGGGCCGGAGGGTGGACCTGGATCCCGATTCCCTTTCTCGGGCCCCGATTCCCTCTGCCAAGGCAGGCCCCGGCGCCCGCCCCCACCCCCGCGGCTCCTTACGAAGCTGAGCGTGGGGCCCGGGCCGCCCTTCCTCTTCAGATCCCCAGGGCCCGCGGCGGCGGCGGCGGCGGCAGGCTGGTCGGGTCGCGGCGGGCCCGGGGGCGGCTCCTCCTGCCGCTGCCGCTGCTCCTCCTCCATCTTCCGCTTGAACAGCTCCAGGAAGCTGCCGTCGTTGGCGAACAAGTTCACACCGCCCGACACCGGGCTAGAACCCGCGCCCGACGCTTCCTCGTCCCCGCTCTCGGGCGACGTCCCGGGCCCCGACTCAGCCCATCGGCTCCCGACACTGCCGCCGCCCGCGGGGCCCGGCGCCTCCCGGCCGGGAGGCTCCGCCCGTCTCCCTCGGGCAGCCATTTTGTCGCCAGGTGCCGCGCAAAGGACTCCGGGAAGGCGGCTCCGGCCCGGCGCTTGGCGCCCGACTTGCCCCGTCCCGGGCAATGCATGCCGGGAAGAGCGGTCTGGCCCTCAAGCGTCCGCAGTAGGGGCGGAGTATAAGGGGCGGGGCGAATAAGGGGTAAGACCTGACGCCACGGGCCCGCCCAGCCAGCCACGCGGATTTTTATAATCCCTCTAGATTTGGGCGGTTTCCCCGGGACTGGAACCATTGTCTGGGACTGCGGCTGTAGCTGGCTCTCCGGAGTGAGGTTCCCACTTGAAACTGGGGGCATATTACCTTTCCGGGGCTAGGATCCCCTTCTGGCACCAGGGATAATCTCTGAGGGAAAGGACCCCGTCTGAGACTGTGTGTTCAACTGACACCTCGAAACCGAGGTCACCCCCGTCCAAAAAAAAAAAAAAGAAACCGAGGTCCCGAACTCGGTCCAGAGGGCAGATATCTAGCCTAAACACACACACACACACACACCCTCCCGACTAGAAATGGGGATATCTCTGGTTTGGTTGGGTACTGTCTCTGGGATGGAGCTCTCATTTGAGAATGGGAATACAGCTGGCTCCGTGGAGTTGGGGTCCCCACTGAGAATAAGGGTGTTATGGGCTGGAGTACTCAAATGAAGTCGCGAGTATTTTTAGGCTATAGTCTATCTAAGGTTAAGAGTGTTCGCCAAAGGCCTGGCACTCATCTTGTATTCCTGCCCAGGACAGAGATTCAAACAGGGAATTCGCTAGAGTCTCCCCTCGAACAGGGAGCAAAGTGCAAGAAGGTTTCCGGGAATAGAGTCCCTTCTATGACGAGGAGCACAGTTGTAGGTGTGGTCCCTGCCCTGGCCTGCCCAGCATGGGGCTCAGGGCGCACTGGACGAAGATCGTAGGACCTTGCCCACTACCGGACTTGTTCTCCCTCTAATCCACTTGCAGTCCAGGGACCTGTCTTCAGCCAACTAATCGGTTCGTCTCTGATTGGTTTGCGTCAAGAGCCAGGTGGCTCACAGCCAATTGGATAGCAGAGGAGACGGACCTGAGGCGATGTTGGGACCCATTTTGGAGAATAAGGACAAATGATCGACAAGAAGTTGAACCTATGGAGTCAGGCCAGGGCGGACCTCGGATCTAACTTCAAGGAAAGGGCATGGACTTGGTGTTTGGCTGGTTGCTAAGGAGAGGTTGGCGGCTACGGGGAGGTGAGAATGATTGGTGAAAGTGAGAAAAAATGTAGCCAATGAGAGGAGAGCTGAGAGACTTGGGAACCAATCAGAGAAGGGGAGTAGTCAAAAGTACCAATATGTTAATTCGGCAGGGGGAGTCTTTGAAAAAACTTGGACAAGAGGGCGACTAAGTGAACCCTGGAAGCGAAAGACATTGGAAATATAGTTTCTATTATCTCCTAAAAATCAGGCCATGAGGAAATTAATTCAGGCTCCTAGACTTGATGGGTATGTGCTAGGCAATTTCCCCTGTAGGTTCTTTTCGTGGTGCGCTCCGCTTGATCACGTGAGCCGGTTCCAAGATGGCGGCAGGGGTGGCCGGGTGGGGGGTTGAGGCAGAGGAGTTCGAGGATGCGCCTGATGTGGAGCCGCTGGAGCCCACGCTTAGCAACATCATCGAGCAGCGCAGCCTTAAGTGGATCTTCGTCGGGGGCAAGGGTGGCGTTGGCAAGACCACCTGCAGGTAAGGAAGCTGCGGCGGGGGCCGGGAAGACGGGTGGGATGTACCACTGGGCGAAGGGGAGGTTCGGGACTGGCTCTTCCATCCCAAGCCGAGAAAGGGGGCTGGGCCGGGGTCTTCCGGATCGTACTCCCAGAAGTGACCTGGGGCAAATGGAAGATATTGCCTGAATGCAGGCCTGGAACCCTCTGTTTTGGACCGCCCCCGTTGGGGTTCAAGGGTAGAACCACATTGAACCCAGCGCACGGGACGCAGGAGAGCACTTAGGTGTCCCAATCTGCTGGACGGTACCAGAGTGAGCTCGGAGTAGGGGGAGGGGCAAGCTATCCTAGTCTGGTGAACCTTGCCATTCTCTGGCCACGTGGGGGTAGAGGTGGTAGGCGGGAGGGGAGGCACGTGATTAGACCATACCAGTCGGCTGGGAGGAGGGGGAGGGGTCCCTGGGGCAAATTACCCTGAACAAGTGGACTGAACCATCCTGAATTTAGCGGGCGATGCAAGGGACCCCTTAGCTTAGCGTTTAGGGAGGGGGCACAAGGTCAAGCTAGGCTGGCTGGACAGCTGGACCGTGCCACTCTGTGCCAACAAAGAAGCAGCAGCCATTAGGCCAGACCGGCCCGGACAGCTGAACCTTACCACTGTAGTCACCCAGAGGGGTCAGTAGGTGAAGTCTGAGAAGGTCCCTATATAGGGATTAAGTCTTGATTCCACAGTTACCCGTATTCTGTCTCAAGGCCCCTGTTAATCCAGGTCCCCTGCTCCTGGACCCTATATAACCCCTTGCAGACCTAGGGACCAGAGCCTGACCCCTCACTCCCTGCCTTTTGACCTTTCCCTTGCCCAGCTGCAGCCTAGCGGTCCAGCTGTCCAAGGGGCGGGAGAGTGTTCTGATCATCTCCACCGACCCAGCCCACAACATCTCCGATGCATTTGACCAGAAGTTCTCCAAGGTGCCCACCAAGGTCAAAGGCTATGACAACCTCTTCGCCATGGTGAGTGGAGGTGGGCTCAGCTCCCCACTCTGGCAAAGGCCGTTCAGGCCCTCTCTGTGAACACCCACCATCAGCTACCATGCCCTGCCTATTCTGCATCATCCCTCAGCGTACCCACAGGAGAACGAATGAGGAATGTTTGCGGAGCAGAAAGGAGGCCAGAGTGACCAGAGTTTAGCAAACAAGGGGAGGAAGGAGATGTCATAGGTCAATCACAGCTACGTGGTATAGGACCTTACAGGCCCCTGGGAGCAGTTATGTTTGATTCCAAGTTTAATAGGAAGCTGTTCATTTTAAGCAGGGCAGTGTCATGGCCAAATTCATTTTTCAAAAAGTTCCCTGTGACTGCCGTGCGGAGAAACTCGGGTGGGGCCAGAATGTTGGGAGAAGTGGTCACGTTTGGAATGTATTTTGGAATTAAAGCAACACAAATGTTTGGTTGTAATGGGCAAGGGAAAGAAGTGAACTAAGTACATCTCTTAGTTGGCTCCCTCGACAGCCGGGATGGGGGCGACTAGGAGAGAAGCAGGTTTCGAAGGGACAAACAAGGAATTCCATTTTGGTCCCGGTGAATCCAGGGTGCCCACTGGGCATCCAAGTGGAGATGCCAGGACAGTGGCTTAGTTATGTGAGATATGTGAGCTTGGAAGAGGTTGGGGTTGATTTGGGAGTCATTGTCTCAAGGATGGTATTTAAAGCTGCGCAAGTGGAGGAGAATGAGAGAATGGAGAAGCCCAGAAACAAACTGAGGTCACATCAACATTTAGGGTCCAGGGGGAGGGGTACGGGGACCAGTGAAGGAGGCCAAGAAGGAGCCACAGGTGAAGTGGGAGGAAGCCAGGCATCGTGAGCTCCTGAGCTCAGGACAGAGGGACTCGGTGGGAAGAAATAGTGGGCTTCAGCAGGCACATCAGATCTAGAGAGACCACTCTGGGAATGGGGGATGGGGGCAAAAGCCTGCACAGAGTGGGTGAGCTGAGGAGTGGGGACAGTGATCGCCATCATGGTGGCTGAGAAATAGGGCCATTGCTGGGGGGAGCTGGGGGTGGGTGGTGTTAAGGAGGCTTTTGGGGGAGGGCGGGGGGAGAAAGGAGATGCCAGAGTATGTTTGTTTGCTGATGTAAACGCTCCAACAGGGAGGGACAAGTGATGCTGTGGGAGGGAGCAAGGATGCTGGCAGAGGACGGTCCTCAGGCAGGTAGGTGGGTGCGAGTTCCATTCAGCTCACAGACCCAGGACATGGAAGCAGGGCAGGGAGGGGCAGGGGGGTGGGGTGGGCATGGGGACATTTCCTGGGAGGAGATGAGGGTGTTGGCAGCCAGTGGCTTCTTTTTCTAATCGGGCACAGCACTGGTCTCAGCAGAGAACAAGGGGTGAATGGGATGGATGGGGTTTGAGGAGAAAGAAGAAACTCCCGAGGGTGTGTCTGGCTTGAGTGCCTGTTGGAGAGTTGTGTTCAGGAATGGTGAGCAACGTGGGAATTATTCATCAAGTGCGTTCCCTGACTGTTCACCTCGGTGCAGCCATACCAGAGAGCTGGGAATAACCAGAGTGGGGATGTTGCCAGCCACGGGGAAAAGGGAGTGTCTGCAGAGGCACCCTATGGAGCCCAGGCTGGATAAGGGTGCCAGCCACGAGGGATACTGATAGTGAACAATGGGGCAGGGGTATGGGGACAAGATGGCCCAAAGAGGTAGGAGGCAAGGAGGCCCAGGTCAGAGAGTGAGGTGTGGGAGCTTAGAGGTGGCCCAGTTACTGGCAATAACCCATCAAGGATGTGACTGTCAGGGGTGATGGGTGGGCATGCTCCCTGCAGGGAAATGACCTCTGAGGCCAGCGAGTTGGGGGCTTCACCATGGGACCTGTGAAGTCACCAAGAGGTGACATGGGAGGAGGATGGAGAGAGAGGCACTGAGTCCAGAGCAGACCAGACAGCCCGGGGACAATCATCCCTTCATGGATTCTACATACATATTGAGGACCCATTGTGGGCTTCGCAGTGCTGACAGCTGATAAAGGTGATGAACATGCTGAGTAAACCATGTGAGCTGGGGCTCGGAGTTAAGGAGAAATGAAGGCAGGGCAGGGGGAGCTGGGGCAACATTGTTAGATGGGATGGTCAGGGAGGACTCCTGTTAGAGAAATGATCTGGATGAGGTCGGGGCCCATTTGGGGAACGGCCAATGCAAGGGCCCAGCCATGGGCTCTGACTTCCCTCTGGGGCACTGATCACAGTTTACAATTTTCCATCTGCTTGTGAAATGGTTTGACCACTTGTGTGACCACACGAGACCTGAAGTGCCTCAGGGGTATCCCCAGCCATGAACTGATGAAGGTTGGTATTCGGGGCCCTTCTTGGGCTCTTTCGCCTGGTGCCTGGGTGGGAAGGTCCGGCGGCAGCAGCACCTGAGTCTTGACCCCTCGGCCCTCAGGAGATTGACCCCAGCCTTGGCGTGGCCGAATTGCCTGACGAGTTCTTCGAGGAGGACAACATGCTCAGCATGGGCAAGAAGATGATGCAGGAGGCCATGAGTGCCTTCCCCGGCATTGACGAGGCCATGAGCTACGCAGAGGTCATGAGGTCAGGCCCTGCCAGCAGGGGAGGGTGCTGTGTAAGGCTGGGGTGGAAGGGGGCAAACAGGCCTGATCCTCCTCTCCCCCGCAGGCTGGTGAAGGGCATGAACTTCTCGGTGGTGGTGTTTGACACGGCGCCCACAGGCCACACACTGAGGCTGCTCAACTTCCCCACCATCGTGGAGCGGGGCCTAGGCCGCCTCATGCAGATCAAGAACCAGATCAGCCCCTTCATCTCCCAGGCAGGCAGGGCCCCAGGGCGTCCGGGCACCCCCTGTGTCAGAGTGTGCAGACACGCCCTCTCAGTCCGTGGTTCCCCACCGGATGGGATGGATCTCCACCATGGGGGTGGGGGGGGGGCTGTCCGCTTACTCCATAGGACTCGTGTCTTGCCCCCACCCACGGAGTGCTCCAGACAGAGCTTGAAAACACGTATTCCAGAGCCAGGCGGCCTGGGCTCAAATGCTTTACAGTCTGGTGTGACACGACTCTGGGACCTCAAGCAAGTCACTTCATTTCTCTGGGTCTCACCTTCCTTGTCTGTCAAATGGAGGCCATACGTGTGTCCCATGGGTGGTTCTTTTTTTTTTTTTTTTAAAGATTTTATTTATTTATTTGAGAGAGCAAGAATGAGAGAGAGTACATGAGAGGGGGGAGGGTCAGAGGGAGAAGCAAGCTCCTCGCTGAGCAGGGAGCCCGATGCGGGACTCGATCCAGGGACTCCAGGATCATGACCTGAGCCGAAGGCAGTCGCTTAACCAACTGAGCCACCCAGGCGCCCCCATGGGTGGTTCTTAGCATGACAACATGACAAGCCTACTGCCCCCACATTTAGGCACACCACCACTGCCACCCTCTCCCTGGTGGTGTGTGGTCAGTACAACAGCTGTTGGAGGTAAGGTCTACATGTGGGGAAACTGAGGCTCCAGGAAGTCAAGCCCCCTGGCCACAATCCCCCAGAAATGGCCGAGCTGGCTTGACCCCTGTGGTCTGCTTGAGGACCTTTAACCCCAGGAGGTGTCAGTCCCCAACCCGGGTGCTGTAAGGCACCCCAGGTAAGCTGTGAGCCTCCCACGTCCTCCCCACAGATGTGCAACATGCTGGGCCTAGGGGACATGAACGCAGACCAACTGGCGTCCAAGTTGGAGGAGACGCTGCCCGTCATCCGCTCCGTCAGCGAACAGTTCAAGGACCCTGTGAGTCATGGTACGGGCGGGTGGTGAGAGGCTTGGGATGGGGACAAGGCCAGAACTTGCCCCTCGCTGTCCTCTCTCACGCCTTGCAGGAGCAGACAACGTTCATCTGCGTGTGCATTGCTGAGTTCCTGTCTCTGTATGAGACGGAGCGGCTGATTCAAGAGCTAGCCAAATGCAAGATTGATACCCACAACATCATCGTCAACCAGCTCGTCTTCCCTGACCCTGAGAAGCCCTGCAAGATGTGTGAGGCCCGCCACAAGATTCAGGCCAAGTACCTGGACCAGGTGTGCATGCCCAACTGCCTGCCCAGCCCTCACACCTTTGATCCTGGAAGTTGGGGCCTGGCCCAGCCCAACCAAGGCCCCACGGATCAATTACTGTATTCTCTGACCTTTTACTCCATCCTATCTTCTAATCCTCTGCCCCACCCTCCTGCTCCTAATCCTAACCCTAATTCTGGCTCTTGAAGACAGTAGCTGGCCTGGCCTGGGTACCTCTGACCCCAGGGAGGGGGAGGTCCAGCCCAGTGATCTCTGACCTCACTGGTCTCACTCCCATCTATCAGCATATGAAGCCCCTGCCCCACATTCTCCCCTGATCCTGGGAGATCCCCAACCTGACCCTTCCCATTGACCCACATTCTGTCCCTGCCCTGCAACCCCCTGACTGCCACCATCTGCCCTGTGCCCTGGCCACAGATGGAGGACCTGTACGAAGACTTCCACATTGTGAAGCTGCCGCTGCTGCCCCACGAGGTGCGGGGGGCGGACAAGGTCAACACCTTCTCTGCCCTCCTCTTGGAGCCCTACAAGCCCCCCAGTGCCCAGTAGCACTGCTGCCAGCCCGAGTTGCTACCATTTCACATCCCCCCTCCACCCCCCCGGGGGGGCAGAGTTTGCACAAAGTCCCCCCCATAGTATAGGGGGAGCCACTTGGGGGGCAGGGGGCGGGGAGGAGGTCTGTTCCCCCTGGTGGGGCTGAGGGGGCTGTAGCTGCCCCCCACCTCTCCCTGCCTCTCGCCCCTCAATAAAATGATCTTAAACCACCATGGATGTTGATGTAGAGGAGTTAGGGGTCAGCACCTTTATGTACAGTTGCACAGGTTGTACACTGCACAAAGATGGCACATCTAGAGGGACCAAGTCACACCAGAGATCTAATAGAGATGTATGTTTATTATGGTAATTTTGGAAGGAGGGTATCTTCAGTAAGGGGGTGTGCTTTTCTAACTCTGGTAGCGGTGTCCCTGCTGGGGCTATAAAACCTGTAGTAGAAGGGGAGCATCTGCCCACTTCCTTTGAGGTTCAGAGCGTGGGAACTGGGAGGCCCCTTGGCCATCCCTAGGCTGGTGGGGAACGGATTAGGCCGGCAGCGGGCCCAGCGCTGCCTGCTGTTTGGTTTGGGAATTAGTGGGCGCCCTGGGCAGAGGTTGGGCCTGCCAGACTGAGGATTAACAGTCTCCACCCCCCAATTCCTGTTCCCATGGGATGGCATCAGCCCTTCCCAGCACAGGGCTGCAACAGGGGGGCTAATTAGGAGGCAGGATGGCAGAGGAGTTGGGTCAGGTGGGCCCCTGAAGTCCTGTCTGCCTCCAGAGCGGCCTCGCTGAGTGATAGGCAGCATGCTTCCTGCAGTTTGAGCTCCACTCCCTTTATCCCTAAAATGGAAACATAAAGTGTGGTCGTTCAGAATCATGGGAAAATTCACCGGACCCTGGACGGGTTTAGCACACCAGCTTGGAAGGCACTTAGTGGCCTCCCATATCCCTTCACTCCTCCCTCTGCCACTGCCTGGACAGCCAGTGTCATCCCCACTTGAGAGACCCAAGACCGGGGCAATGACGTTGAGCATTTGCAATTTCCAAGCCAGTGCTGGCTCGAGGGGACAGAATGAGGATGCCTGAGGACATGCATGAGTCAAGAAGTGGTGTTCAGGCTGCACACGGGTGTGACAGGGTGTGCGTGTAAGGGGAACCCAGCCCCAAGCCTAGACGTGCCACCCCCCACTATTCCACTGGATGTGGACAGGCTGGGGTGGCCCTTGTAAACAAACAGTGGTGCAACCTGTGACAGACCCCAGGTTCCGAGCCAAACTGCCTGGGTTCAAAAACCAGCTGTGCCACAAGCCGTGTGTCATCCGAGCCTCAGTTTCCCTACCTGGATAGCAGGAATAACAAAAGCACCCATTTCTTAGGTCCGCTTGTAAGGACTCCATGAGATGAAATAAGCAGAGCCTTTACAACAGCCCCAGTCACGTAGCCGCCAAGGAGGGTTTGTTTCTCTTCACTGTAACAATTATTAAGCATGTGAGCTAGCTCGGGCAACCTGCCCCGGGGCCGGCGGGGGGCCAGCACTCAGAGGTGTGTGGGGACACATGTGAGTTGGGGGCGGGTGGCTGAGCACAGGGTAGGGGCGAGCTGTAGTGCATGTACGGACGTGTCCTAGGAAGTGGGGGCCTCTGCTCAGGAACCGAGAGCATCCCTTTGAAGCCCGTGCCCTCCCCCAGCCCTGAAGCCAGCCGCGCCACTCCCTCTCCCCCTTTTATGGGCTGTCCGGCAGCTGGACAGCGGAGATTTGGGTCTGAGGGTGGCCAGCCCAGGCCAGTTCCTAATTACCCGGGGCAGGGCAGACATCTGCCAGGCCGGGAACACAGTGTCCTGGCTGGCAGGGCTGCAAGGCAGGGCTGCAATGGGCCTCCTAGTGCGAACGGTGAACACAAGGGGCTTTAAGGGTGCCCCTCTTAGGGTTGGAACTCTGAGCCTCCGCACCTTCCACACTGGGTTATGAGTCTGATGTTGGGGACGAGGGGGCTATTTGTGTCAGGCTGGGGGTGCCCCCTTTGTAGGTGTGTCTGTGAAGGGGGAGCATCTGTCTACATCCATGCCAAATTTGGGGACAAGGTGTGTCCCCAAGCTTGTGTGTTCATGGCAATACTGAGAGTGAGACCTGAGGTGTGTGTATGGTTGAGGGAGCACTGGGGAGAGAGTGTCTTATGTATTGATGTGTAAATGCGGGTGAATTTTATGGGGGGATATGGGCATGAGCCCATCTAGTTAGAAGGCTCTATGGGACTGTATAGGAGGGGTCTCTTTTGTATGAGTGTGTTTAGGGCCCTGCTCTGACCCCAGGACCATGTGCCACTGTTTTGAGGGCAGGTGTGCATGCATCTGGTGTGTGACCACAGGTCAGTCTTTGTGCAGGAGAAATCGGGAATAAATGCATGGTCCCTCGTGTGTGACAGCGTGCGGCTGTCTGTGTGAAGGCATTCTGGGGTCTGTGCTTAGCGGTTGTGTGATGTTGCATGTGTCTTTGTTACATGGTGCCATCGTGAGGGAATGCAGGGTCCCAGGTCCCTGCCCATGTGCTCCTGAGTGGCTGGAGTACCATATGGATGGATACCTGAGAGCCGAGAGCCTGGTGGGTTAGGGTCCATCTGCCTATATTGAATGTTGGGGGTGGGTAGAGCTACACGTGTCTTCTGTGACTTTTTAAGTCTGTGACAGTGTATACTGCGCTCTGGGTTACCGTGGTTGTGGGAGGCTGTGTTAAAAGAAGTTAAATTTGTGTCTGGGTCTATGGTGTGTGTTTCTTTGTGCATCCTTGTGACAGTGTGGAGTGACACAGCCTCACTGAACAGTGTGTGTGTGTCTCTGGAACTGGGAAGGAGATAGTCACTGCCCCTTCCCCCAGCTTAGGTCCAAGATCCCTTGGACCTGCCAGTGACTAACTGGGAGAGAGACAGGGAGGAGCAAGGGAGGACAGGGTGGATTGCTCCCCCTGCCCCAGGTAACAAACTGGCAAGACTTCTCCAAACAAACTTCTGAGGCTGCAGCCAAGGTGGGGGCGGGCCAGGGAGGGGCTGCCCACGCCCACTCCCCAGCCCCCTCCCCCTGGGGTCTGGCCTCAGCCCCACCTAAAGCTGAATTCACCCGCCCATTCTGTCCCTGGCCCCGTTTGTCTCTGCACCCTCCACCAGGTGAGAAGGGCCCAGGCCTGGGGGAACAGAGGATCCTGAGGACAGATGGGTCCTCAGGCAGGAATCCATCAAACTCCTCAGGGTGGGGAGCTGAGGGCTCTGAAGGCTGGAGGGGATTGGACAGATGAAAGGTCAAGGTGGGTCCAGGAGAAGGGGGAAGGGGCAGAGCCAGGGCCATTAAGTGGGGAGGTGGGTAGGCTTGGGGAACTGTGTAGGGGAGAGACCAGCCAGGGGAGAGGGCCTGGGGTACAGGGCCTGGGGGAACTGGAAGCTTGGGGAATGGGCTTCCAAGGGCTTCAAAGAAGGGAGTGCAGGGGTGGAGGATGGGCTGAGAATGGGAGCTGTAGGAGTGGGGTGGAGGATGGGCAGAGATGGGACCTGAAGAAGGGGATCGAGGCTGGGGAAGAGCTGGAGTCCTAAGACTCTAGAAACAGGCGCTGGGGACTCAGGGAGCGGGGAAGGCTGTAGATGGGAGCCCAGGTAAGGAGGGCTACTGGGGCTGATTGGTGGACCCAAGGGTCTTGGGGATGGAGGATGGAGGGAGAGGGCCAGGGAAGGTAGACTTATGGAGCTGGGACCAGGAGTCCTGGGAAGAGGGAGGCCTGCCAGAGGGGGCTTGGGAAGTCCTGGGGGCTAGGGCGAGACTGAGCGGGCCTGGGAGGAGACCGGAACCTGGGCTGGGGACGCCAAGCTGAGTCGGCCCGCACCTCTCCGCCCCTGCCCGCAGCCCGGGGGACCCTTTCCTCCGCCCACAGGCTGGGGTCCGGTTCAGCCCCTTCTCCTTCGGCGCAGCCGGCCCGGCGCTGCGATGACCGTCACCTACACAGCCCGCGTGGCCAATGCGCGCTTCGGCGGCTTCTCGCAGCTGCTGTTGCTGTGGCGCGGGAGCATCTACAAACTTCTGTGGCGCGAGCTGGTCTGTTTCCTGGGGCTCTACATGGCGCTGAGTGCCGCCTATCGGTGAGGCGGCCCTGGGGTGGGGGACGCGGGGGAGGGGGGGGTGGGGACTAGGGAAGGGACCTTGGGTGTGTCCAGGAGGGAGGCTCTCCTGTGACCCCCTGCCCCCTCCCTCGCAGCTTCGTGCTGACCGAAGGGCAGAAGCGCTACTTCGAGAAGCTCGTCATTTACTGTGACCAGTATGCCAGTCTCATCCCGGTCTCTTTCGTGCTGGGTGCGTTCGCTCCTTAGTTCCCCATTCCCCTAATACTAAGAAACCCATTTCCAGGCCTTTTGGAGACCCCATTCCTCAGAAGACCCCCCTCAAATCCAACCCCAACAGACCCTTATTTCTATATCCTTCATGCCAGGTGTGGCCCCAGTTTCCAGAGACCTTGGATGTCACCTGGTTACAGTAAGCCATGAGAGCTCCGTGTCACCCATAGGCTTAATCCCTGGTCATCTCAGGGTCTCCCACCTGTGTCTGCATGAGACCACTAGTGGCTCCCCACATGTCCTGGGTCCCAGGGACCCCTCCAGTGACCCCCTAAGACTCCATCCTCTCAAGTCCCGCCCGGAGGACATTTCTCTGACAAGTCAGTGACTTCATGTGACCCCAGCCTCCTGTTTCAGGTCCCCACGCTCCCAACCGAGTGATTCCTTGTGGCCAGGGTGACAACCTGCCTATGTGCCCCGAACATAGGCCCTGTGTCTCCACCTCCATACTGACATCCCAATCCCACATCCCAGGTGACAATCAGATAGCCAGGGTGACCCCCAAATTCCCAGCCCAGGTGGCCCCGCGAGGTGGGTGGGTGATAAGCCTCCCCCGGTGTCTCTGATGCAGAGCCTATATCACCTCTCTTGCCACGACCTGGCCCTAGCATCCCCACTTAGCCCCCTATTCCCGGCTGTCCCGCAGGTTTCTATGTGACGCTGGTGGTGCACCGCTGGTGGAACCAGTACCTCTGCATGCCGCTGCCAGACGCGCTCATGTGCGTGGTGGCAGGCACGGTGCACGGCCGCGACGAGCGGGGCCGCCTCTACCGGCGTACGCTCATGCGCTACGCCGGGCTCTCGGCTGTGCTTATCCTGCGCTCAGTCAGCACCGCGGTCTTCAAGCGCTTCCCCACCATAGACCACGTAGTGGAGGCGGGTGAGGCTCCTGCCTGAAGCGGGGCGGGGGGCGGGGCTGAGAACGGGGGGGCGGGGCGAGTAACCCCCTTCCCCACACCTCGCCCCTCCAGGATTTATGACCCGCGAGGAGCGTAAGAAGTTCGAGAACCTGAACTCGTCGTACAACAAGTACTGGGTGCCCTGCGTCTGGTTCTCCAACCTGGCTGCGCAGGCCCGGCGTGAGGGTCGCATTCGCGACAACAGCGCCCTTAAACTGCTGCTCGAGGTGGGCCCGCCAGGAGGTCATTCATACAAAATTCCAGGGAAATGACACCTCCCCGGAATTGTGTCAGATGGCGGCCTGCCACGCGCCTCCCCCGAGGCAGATTCCCAACACCCTTACCAAGCAGCCCCCAGGTGCACACTTAGCTCTAGGGGGCCGACTCCCCGGCGCATAGTGCCCCCTACCCCAGATGTACACTCACCACTAAATACTCTCCCTGGAGACCCAGAAGCACACGCCCACATCCCACCAGATAACCACTCACCTCCATCCCAAGTACCCACACCTAATCCCCATGTGTGCACTCGCAATTCAGGCCTTCTCATGACGTGTATCTGCACCCAGGAGCTGACCGTGTTTCGGGGCAAGTGCGGAATGCTCTTTCACTACGACTGGATCAGCGTACCCCTTGTCTATACCCAGGTAACCCTGCCGTGCCTCTGTTTAAATCCGGCATCGGACGCTCTGACGCACTGGTCTCAAGGGAAGACTGAGGGCCAGCTGAGACCCCATATCCGTGATGCCCCATCCTAGTCCTGGTCTCTCCAAGACCTCCTGAGACCGGGAGAACCCTGACCTGGTGACCCACCCTGCCCCCAGGTGGTCACCATCGCTGTGTACAGCTACTTCCTGGCCTGCCTCATCGGTCGCCAGTTCCTGGACCCAGCTCAGGGCTACGAAGGCCACAACCTGGACCTGTGCGTGCCCATCTTCACCCTGCTGCAGTTCTTCTTCTATGCGGGCTGGCTCAAGGTGGGTGGAGCTCAGAGGTAGGGACTCTCGGGGTCGGATAGGCACGGGTTCCCAGGGCTCTACCTAACTATCCCCTCCCCCTTCAGGTAGCCGAGCAGCTCATCAATCCCTTCGGAGAGGACGACGATGACTTTGAAACCAACTTTCTGATCGACCGCAACTTCCAGGTGAGACTCGGGTGAGACCATCCCGGGCTCCCCAACCAGCCTTGGCCCCACCCCTCGAAGACTTGCCTGGGCCTGGACCCTGAACCATCATCCTTCTTTCTTTGGTCACCATACGCCTAGCCCATCCTGAGGGGTCCACCCCGTGCACGCCCGCAGGTGTCAATGCTGGCCGTGGACGAGATGTATGACGACCTGGCCATGCTGGAGAAGGATCTGTACTGGGACGCAACTGAGGCTCGCGCCCCCTACACCGCAGCTACCGCGTTCCTGCGGCAGCAGCCGTCCTTCCAGGGCTCCACCTTCGATATCACGTGAGCCAGCGGGATGGGTGGGGCCTCCCGGAGGAGGCGCTTCTGGCCCTGCGGGGGATGATCCAATTGGAGGGGCTCTGGGCTACCAGGACAGGGCCAATTTGGAGACTCAGGGCTAAGACCTAAAGTCTGCGAGGACTAGACTGGGGGTAGGGGACAGGGATCCGGGTCAAGGTCTGGGACCCGGCCACTAACTGGGGGCCGACCCAAGGGCTGAGGCCGATGAGGATTGGACGCGCGGCCAGAGGCAGCGCCAGAGATGCTGCAGTCCCGACTGAGGCTTGAAGAGCTAAATTTGAGCTTAGCCGAAGCCAGAGGGTAAAAGCAGGCTCTCAGGAGAAGGACCGAGGTCTTTGGGGATAAGTGAGACAAAGGGATGGATGGAACCAGGAGAAGCAGCGTGTCTCGGTCCCCGCTCTGTCAGTCAAGGAGAGGAGCGAGGTCGCAACGCTGAACCACTGTCCGTCCGACAGGCTGGCCAAAGAGGACATGCAGTTCCAGCGGCTGGACGGCGTGGACGGGCCGCTGGGCGAGGCGCACGGCGACTTTCTGCAGCGCCTCCTGCCGGTAGGCGCAGGCATGGGCGCGGGAGGCCTGCTGGGCCGGCGCCTGTCCTTAATGCGCCGCAAGAACAGCTGCGTGTCTGAGACGTCCACAGCCGCCAGCTGCACGTGCGCAGGCGCCCCCGACGGCACGGCCCCGGAGTGCGGTTGCGGGGACCCGCTGCTCGACTCCGGCCTGCGGGAGCCAGAGCCGGAGCTCCCCGCCGGCCCCGAGCTGCCCGTCCCGGGGCCCGCCGCCGAGCCCTTCACCACTGTGCCTATGCCCGCGCCCCGGGGCCCGGCTCCACCCTGGCTGCCCAGCCCCATTGGCGAGGAGGAGGAGAGTCTAGCCTGAGGCCCTCAGGCCCAGGATCCCCCAAGGACAGGGACACAAATCCCGACAGGGCACGCAGGCAGCAGTCCGGGTCTGCATAAGCCGCGTGTGGACTCCATCTGTCCGATTTTGACCCGTTCCCGCCTCCTGCGCGCCGGCCTTCACGTCTGGCACTGGGGCTTGGAGCGCCTCCAGTGGGCCAGGCACTGGGCTAAGGGTGAAGGATTCTTCCAGCTTCTTTGAACAGGCGGTCCTTCCCACCAGCTCTACTTCCCTCCCTCCACTGCCTGAAAGGCCCCCATTAGTGTGCCCTGCCTTCATTCTTTCCTTAAAGTGGAGACGTGAGTGCCTACCTCATTGAGTTATGGGGATGAAATAACGGTTTTAGAATGTTGATTACATAATAGGTGCTCAATAAAATGTTAGTGGTTTTTACTCAAACATTATTAGCCCGACTCTTCCTGCCAGGAATTAGGCTAAATAAGATTTGAGAATTCCTCCAGATTCTTTGATCGCACCTTGCCTCCTTCTTCCCAAACTCTGCCCTCTGAAATGACCCCATGTGTCCATGGCTTTACTCATTCATTAATGTACCAGCCAGTCCCCAGACCACAGCCTCCTCCTGTCAGTCTTGTTTTATGATTCTGCCAGCGACTTCTCTGCCCCAATTCACTGCCTTCTCCAATACTCCCTCGGAGCGCCCAGTCATAATTCAATCATATGGTGAATTTAGAAGTCCAGCCGGGATCCCTCTCCAGATTCTAGACTGGGAGAGCCACCTGCCTCCTCGAGATCTTCATGTGGCACCTTGAACAGAGCATTCCCCCCAAACCAGCTCCCTATTGGTTCCCCAACCTGCCCCAACCTATCTGTTGGCTTTGTCCTTCCGGGTGATAGACCCAAATCTGGGAGTCCTCTCCAACTCTTTCTCTTACCCCCTCCATGTCAACCTAGCAGCAAATCCTATCAGCTCAGTCTTCAAATTATATCCAGAATCCAACCATTTCCCATTCCTCTAGGGCCCACATCTTAGAGCCACCGATGTCACCCACCCACCCACCTAGACCACGGACCACTGCCCTTGTCTCTCAGCTCTGGCCCTAACCGCCCCCAGTCTGTTCCTTCCACAGTAGCCAAGGAGAGCCTATGAATACCTGAGTCAGGTAATGTCCCTCCTTTCCTTAGAACCCTACATGACTCCCATGTTCCTTAGAATAAAAGTACTCCCTACAGTTCACAATCTCCCTGCCCTCATCTCTTTCCCCTCCTCCCCTCACTCACTCCACACTGGCCTCCTCACTGTCCCTCTAACCACCAAACAAAGCCTCATCTCAGGGCCTCACACATATGCTGTTCCCTCTGCCTGGATCACTCTTTCCCAGATACCTACATGGCCCCTCCCTCACCTCCTTCAGGTCTCTGCTTAAATTATGTCACTTCCTTGGCGAGGGCTCTTCTGCTGGCCTTTTATTTAAAACCACCACATCCCAAATGGACGTCCCACATCCCCATCACTCTGCCTGCTTTCTTTTTCTCTGTAGCACTTCTCACATCAAACTTTCACTTTATCTATTTTGTTTATTGTCTGTCTCTCTTCATGAGAAACGACAACTTCATAAGGCAGGAATTTTTGTCCGAAGCCTCTTCAAAAAATGACCTCACGCACATACTGTTACACAGACACAAACATGGTTCTCACCTCCCAGTGGGTGCCGTCAGTCATTCACGCTTTAGTAAGAACACAAGCCAGGCCTTTCTAAAAGCAATGATCTGGCCCATCTTCTCTCCCTCCCCTCAGTGCCTTGAGTCCAGCAAGGACAGATTGAAAATCTTTATTATTTTTCTTCTCAAATATAAAAATCACTCTCTCCCCTGGCATCTCATTAACCCAGGCTGAAAATCAAGGATAAGAATCACATTGCTAAAAAGAACAGACCCACTCCTGCCTCCTGCCCTATCCTGCACTCTTGTCCCATCTGAGAGAACAAAGGGCAGAAGTCATGACCCTAAGGCTCTCAGGCAGCTGACCCTAGGCCTTCCTGATGCTGGGCCCCAGGTGAGTTGGGGGAATCCAGGGCAGACTGAGCCCCAACTGGCTGGGCAGGGGGCAGGATCCTGAGGCCCATCAGTGCTTGTCAGTGGGGCGCATGTTCAGAGATGCTAGGCGTCCCAGAGGCCCGCGGCGAGTGTTGGTGGCCAGCCGCTGCTGTGCCAGGAATGACTGGGCATGGGCAGGTGCCCGCTCCTCCCCAGCTCGCTGCTGCAGAGCCATACCCTGGACGGAAGAAGGAGTCATGGCTGGCGTCCAGTGAGCCCATGGCACATCCCGGTACCCTCACTACGGTGACGTGCACTCACCATATTATACCAGGCACTGATGAGTAGCTTTTCTTCCTGCTCCCTCTGACTTCGACTCTTCTCAAAGTCCATCTGCCAAGGAGGGAACAGTCAGGGGCCTGGACATGCTGGGGACAGTGAGAAGTGATGAGGACACCCACCTCCAGGTGCCGGATGCGGATGTCCCGCTCCCGGAGCTGTGTCCTCAGGGTGTGAAGTTCTGGGGGTGCCCCCCCGGATGGCCGCTGTTTGGGTTCCAGGGTCTGTATGACCTAGGGTTTGGGAAAGACCCAGGCAGGGTGACCTTGGCCTTGCAGGCCGTCGGACGTGTTGGGCCGCATGGAAGTGTGGTGCAGACGTCTGTGATATGATGGGGGATCGGCAGGTGCAGGAGTGGGGGCAGAGAGGTGCGCGCTGGTGGGAGGCATGGGTCAGTGGGAGGCAGCAGCCTTGGCAGGAGGCCCGTGCAGCCCCCAGTGTCCTCACCGTGCGCGCCTTGTCCACGTAGCGACGGTAGCGCTCCTCCATGGCCCGCAAGTCCGCATCCTTCTTCTGCAGGCTGTGTTGCAGCTCCTCGATACGCCGAGCTGCTGGGGGAACAAGGCGACCCCTCAGCTCCCCGCCAAGCTCGGGGCTCTCCCGCCCCCCCCAGCCGCTGCATCCCACTCACTGCCACTGTCAGCGGGCGGTTCCAGCTCCTCAATGTACTCCCGCTTCCGCTGCAGCTCCAGATCTGCTTCATGCAGCTTCTGCCTGTGGACAGAGGATGGGCAGCAGCGGGCTGACCACTGGGCCTCCTTCCCTTCCTCCCACTGGTGGCCACAGCCTTCCCAGCTGGCCAACGTGCACCTGCCCGGCTGCAGAGACCTGTGTGCCAGCCCCCTGAGACGGAAGCCATATGCCTTGGTCCCACCATCTCCTTAGCCACGGGAGCCACAACCTTCCACACCCCTCGTCGGGTGGGCCCTGGACCAGCCCCCTGTGTGTCCACTTCGCTCCGTGCCCACAGCCCACACACTGGTACAGCCATGACCCCCTTGCCAGTCTCTTCTACACTCGATCTCATTCCTTTCTCCACCCAGCAGCCAGGGATCTTTCTAGCATGCAGATCTCTTCTAACAAAAGTGTAAAACCTTACAGTTCTGCCACCTGAGGCAAAACCCCGAAGATCTAAGAACACTCCTTGTAGGTGAGATTATTTTCGTGCACCGGATATGGAACATGGTCTAACACCTAATCATGAAACTTGCGCTACGTCTACTAAGGTGACAAAGGCATGTGCCCTCTAAGCCACCAATTCCACTTTTTCGACATATCTGCACACAAGCAGAATGATGCACATACAAGGTTTTACTTTGTTGCACTGTTTGAAATTGCAAATACCTAGAAAGAATGACTTTTTTTTTAAAGATTTTATTTATTTATTTGAGAGAGACAGTGAGCGAGAGCACAAGCTGGGGGAGGGGCAAAGGGAGAGGGAGGAGCAGACTCCCCAGGGAGCAGCGAGCCTGGGCTTGATCCCAGGACTCTGGGATCATGACCCAAGCTGAAGGCAAATGCTTAACTGACTGAGCCATCCAGGCACCAGAAAGAATGACTTAAATACATTATGACTTTCACAATAAAATGTTATAGGCCAGCCCTTCCAGACTGGAATTTTACAGGAGAATTAAGCCCTCATGTTTCCATATATCCATCCTCTGTAAGGAAATAACTTTTTCTGCAGTCTGGGTTGGTACTAGCTACACTCCATCCTTGGCAGAAGTGAGAAGAGTCAAACAAATCATTTTCTGTAAGGCCTAATTTCTCCATGGAACCCCAGTCGACAAAAGCTACTGTATTTATTAAAAAAAAACAAACTATTCATATGACAAAATTTCCCAGCCATCTTCTTAAGTAGGAGAAGCGAAGTGCAAACTAGCAGATATCACACTACCTTTCATGTAAATGAGGAATCAGAATAAAAATTTATATAATATTCATTTGCATTTGCTTAAAAAATTTCATAAGGATTTTTATTTTTTTAAAAATGTTTTATTTATTTATTCACGAGAGTCAGAGAGAGAGAGAGAGAGAGGCAGAGGCAGAGGGAGAAGCAGGCTCCCTGCCTAGTAGGGAGCCCAATGCAGGACTCGATCCCTGGACCCTGGGATCATGACCTGAGCCGAAGGCAGACACTTGATCATCTGAGCCACCCAGGTGCCCCTATTTTTTATTTTTTTAAAGATTTTATTTGGGGCACCTGGGTGGCTCAGATGGTTAAGCGTCTGCCTTCGACTCGGGTCATGATCTCCAGGTCCTGGGATCGAGCCCCAGGTCGGGCTCCCTGCTCAGCGGGGAGTCTGCTTCTCCCTCTCCCTCTGCCTCTCCCCCTGCTTGTGCGTTCTCTCCCTCTCTCTCTCTCAACTGAATAAATAAAATCTTAAAAAAAAAAATTTTAGGGTGCCTGGGTGGCTCAGTTGTTAAGCGTCTGCCTTCGGCTCAGATCATGATCCCAGGGTCCTGGGATGGAGCCCTGCATCGGGCTCCCTGCTCCGTGGGAAGCCTACTTCTCCCTCTCCCACTCCCCCTGCTTGTGTTCCCTCTCTGGCTGTGTCTCTCTGTCAAGTAAAATAAAATCTTTAAAAATATATTTTTTTTTATTTGGGGCACCTGGGTGGCTCGCTCAGTCGGTTGGGCGGCTTTCTTCAGCTCAGGTCATGATCCCGGGGTCCTGGAATCGAGGCCCACATCAGATTCCTTGTTCAGTGGGGAGTCTGCGTCTCCCTCTGCCCCTCCCCCTGCTTGTGCGGGCTCTCTCCCTCTCAAATAAGTAAATAAAAAATCTTAAAAAAAAATAAAGATTTTAGGGGTGCCTGGGTGGCTCAGTCATTAAGTGTCTGCCTTCGGCTCAGGTCATGATCCCAGGGTCCTGGGATCGAGCCCCAAATGGGGCTCCCTGCTCCGCAGGAAGCCTGCTTCTCCCTCTCCCACTCCCCCTGCTTGTGTTCCCTCTCTTGCTATGTCTCTCTGTGTCAAATAAATAAAATCTTTATAAATAAATAAATAAATAAAATTTTTATTTCCTTATTTGAGAAAGCGTGAGAGA